TAACCTCAGTTCTGTGTCCAAGGATTAAGAGTCCAAGGATTCCTTTCCTTCGGCTATGCCTGGGCCCCTGCCTTGTTTCTTTATCTCACATCCAAGTGATATCTGGCATTTCTCTTTATCCCATTGACTTAGTTCACTTAGCAAAATACCCTACACATTTCTATCCATATTATTGCAAAAGAAACTATTTCATAGTTTCTTATAGCTGATTAATGTTCCATTGAGCAATACTAACACACATATATAATTTGTATATGTGTTTATATTTTCATATATTTTCTTTATCCACTTATGTTCAATAGGTACTTAGATTGCTACTATATCTTGGCTACTTTAAACTGCAATGAACATAGAAGTGCATATATCTTTTCAGATTAGCATGTTTAAACTCTTTAGATAGATATCTAGGAGTGGGCTTATTGGATCATATGATAGTTCAACTTTAAATATTGTGAGAAATATTTATATTGTTATTATAGAAAGGCTGGACCCATTAATATTGCCATCAACACTATATGAGAATTTCTTTAACTCCACATCCCACCACCACTTGTTTCTGGAATGAGGTGATGCAGTTCTGCATCTTTCATTTACATTTTCTGATAACTGATAACGACATTTGACATATGACTTTTTTATCCTTCATAGCAGGAGCTATTTTTGTGTTATAGTTGCTTCTGTGCAGGAACTTTTCAGTTTGATATAACCCCACTACACTTTGTTTGTTCTATTTGGGGCCATACCTGGTGGTCCTCAGGTCTTCAGACACCTCCTGGCTCTGTGTCCTGATGGTGTTTAGGGGATCATATGAGATGCTGAGGAATTGAACTCAGGTTTGTCGTGAGTGAGGCAGGTGCCCTACCCACTATCTCTCAAGCCCCCATGTACTTCTTTTTGCTTACCTTATCATTGTAAACAACCCCCCTCCCATTTATCATTGAAGCATTATAATAGCATGCAGTATTTTTCTATGCTTTCTTTGATCAGTTTTTGGTTTAGAATCTAACACTCAAGATTAGACACAATTAGACAAAAATAATCTTGTCTCCATTCTGAATTAACTTTTGTGCGTCATCTCAGATAGTGATCCTATTTTATTTGTTTGCATATGACTGTCCAGTTTTCCAATGCAACTTAAGACTTTTCTTTTTTTTCCATTTTATGCTCTTGGTGGGTTTTTTTGTTGTAAATCAATTCTCTATCTTTATAAACATTTACTTTTGGTCTTTCGATTCTATCTTTCTGGGTGTCTATATTTATGTCGATGCTACACTATTTTGATTATTACAGCTTTGTACTATAGTTTTAAGTTACAAAGCATGCTGCCTCTATTTTATTTTTTTCTTAGAATGACTTTGTCTATCCAGGGACTTTGGTGATTCCACTATAAATCTCAGTAATGTTTCTTTCATCTTTATTAGGAATGCTATTGCAATTTTTTTATGTTTTAAGTTAAAACACCATTTTAATAAGATCAACTCTTGGCGGGGGGGTTGGAGGGTTGGGCCATACCCCGCTACACTCAGAGATTACTCCTGATTTTGCACACCAGGATTATTCTTGGCAGGGCTCAGGGGGTCATATGCAGTGCCAAGGATCAAATCCAGCAAGGCACGTGACTTACCTGCTTTGCCATCTCTCTAGCCCCAATAATATTAATTCTTCCAATCCATAAGCATGGAGTAGTTTTCCACCATTTTGTGGATTTTTTTTTCTATTTTTAATGGTCATCTATTGTTTTGATGCATGTCTTTTATCTCCTTTGTTAAGTTTTTTTTCCCACCCCCCCTAGGTGCTTAAGTCTTTTTAGAGTGATTGTAAGTAGGATTATGTGATGGATTTTTCTTTCAGTTTATTGTTTGCTTATAAAAATTCAGTGGATTTCTCCTGACCTTCTGCTTCCTGCTTCACCATCCTATATGATGCCTACTTCTGGCTAATATCATTGAACCTATTCCAGAATGGGAGGCAGTGCCCATCCCTACTGGGTGGGTCCCAACAGCCTCCACAACCGACCTGCATCACATTAACGATTCATATTATAGCTCTTGAAGTGCACAGCCACATAATCAGTCATGTGACAAATATACTCAAAAATTACATGCTGTACACAATTATTCTTCCTGCCATTCTGTGACCATGGGCAGAGATGACAGAGAGCATTCTCTAGTCTAATCCCTCAGAATCTTCCAGAGGGTTAATTACAAAAATTTACCCCCAGCACAGCAAGAAAACCAATAGGGAAAATACACAGAAGCCCCCCAAGCTCAATGAGAGAAAACAAATACATAACACAAAATCAAAGACATAAACACCAGAAAATCCTCAGATAATGTCTCTAATGATATTATGAGTTCAACAAATGACACTATGACACTATGAGTTCAACAAATCCATAGCACAATCAGAAAGGCACAAGAAAGTATATGAGTATAAATGAAAGTCTGCTATAGTCAGAAATGACAGAAAATCAAGAACATGGTAGTTGATGTATAAAAGACAACAGAAGCTTTGAACAGCAGAATAATAGAAGCTGAGCAAAAGATTAAGGAACTCCAGATGAGAAGGAGCTGTTTTCCTAATGGAAAAACAGCAGAAGGTGGAACATAACCTGGAAAGAAATGAACAGCATACAAGAGAGCTATGGGATGAGTTTAAGAGAAATAATATAAGAATCATAAAAAATGCAACGGATTTTTGAGTATTTATAGCCTCCGACTTTACTGTATTTGTTTATTGTTTCTAATAAATTTTAGTGAACTCTTTGGGATTTTTCTGTATATATAGCAAGTAGTGATAAATTTATTTCTTATTTTACAATTTTGATCTCTTCTCTTTTCTTCATGTCTCATTGCTTTGACCAGTAATTCCAATACTAGGTTAAAGAGTAGTGGTTAAAAATGGACATTTTTGTCTTGTTCCTGATCTTAGAGGAAAACTTTCCATTTTTTAAAATATCATTTTGGGTTTTATCATGTATGTTGTTTACTCTGTTGAAACATGTTCCTTTTCAAATTTTAGGAGTTTTTATCATAAACAGATGTTGACTTTTGTACAAAAAATTTTTGTGGCTTTTTTTCATTATATAGTTTTTATCTTTATTTTGTGGATATGTTTGCATACATGGAGCTATCTTTCCATCCCTAGAATAAATACCATTTGGTCATAAAGCATGTTCCTTTCCTTTTTTATTATTTTTTGGGGGATAGATTTATTTTGTATTTGAATTTATTTAATTATAAAGTTATTCATGGCTGAGTTTCAGGTGTACAATGTTTCAACACCAACCCCTTTACCAGCATTAACTTCCCTCCATTAGTATCATCGGTCCCTTTCCAAACCACAACTGCCTCATGAAAGGCACTTTTTCTACTTTTTTTCTTCCCGTTAACATAATTTTTTAAATATATTGTTGAATTCATTTCCCTAAAATCTATTAAGGATCTTTGCATCATTTGCTCCTCAAGGATTTTTGTCTGTTGTTTGCTTTTTTCATTATTATTATTTCCCTGTATGATTTTTGGTATCGGGATAATATTGGTATCATAATACATATTTGAAAGAATAATCTTTTCTTCATTTTGGGAGGAAAAACTTGAGAAAGGTATGCAATAAGTTAATTTCAAAGGCTTAGTATAACTCATTTGTGAAATCTTGTCTCTGACTTTTGTTTGGAGTAGACTTGATTACTATTTCAATTCTCTTTGCTGTAACTTTCTATTTATGTTTTCTGTTTTCTCCTGATTTCATCTTGAGAAGTTTCAAGGTTCTAAGATTCTGTCCATTTCTTTTAAATTATCCAATTTAGTTGTATTAAGTTATGCAGAACAAATGTAGACAAGTCATTTGTGCACCATACTTTCAGGACAAACCAGTAATAAGTATCTATTAACTATAAATAGGGTACATTTACACAAAGTAGAGAGTAGCTCTAAATACAAGATATTTACCATTCCTATGACAAGTTGATTTCAGACCCAGAAAATCTATTTTGCATTACACAAGTGAATTGTTTCACTTGGGTAGGATTTTAAGAATCTGATCCCTTTTGCTAATAAAAATCCATGACTGAACGTGGGATTGAGTCAATGTAGTTTTGGTTTTGGAAAAAAGACCCTGTTGTGTCACTTTCATGATTTCCTTGTGTTGATTTGTATATTTTATGGATTAATTTTAGAAAAAATGATTCCATGGTTTTTCAAACACAACTATTAGAGAGAAGTGTGCCTTTTATATTAAACAATCCAGCTGAAAATTTCATTTTCTGTTGGACTATGTTGCTTTGATACCTTTAGATGGAAGATAAATTCATGTGTTCTAGCAGTGTTCCAAGAAGTATAAAAGGAAGAAACTACTTAGTTTAGAGATCTGCGTTATGAGTTAAAAATTATTTCTTTACATTTGTTTTCAAATATAAAGAGAGTTCCATTTGAGAAAAGAATTACAGGGAAAATAGTAATGTCCGGAAACACAATATACAAATTCTATATAAAAAAAAAAACAGTTTCTTACTGCACTACAAATTTGCAGCGTAAATGAAACCTACATTGATCAAAGACTCATGCCATTTTAGTGTTTATTGCACAAATGCTTAATTTGGTTCCTTAAAAAAAGTCTGCCAATTTATCTTTGCTAGTTATGATATTAAAGTATGCAAATCAGCATGTTCTAGTTGGTCACTGCTAATCTTTTTATAATAACTAATGTTCTCTCCCAGCAGCCACCTCACCTTCTAGTTAAGTCACCTTCACCCAGAAGTCGCAAAATACTGTAGACAGTAGCTTTTTACTTGATTAAATTTCAGGAGGTTGAAGCTTGGCCAACATCATCACCTTCTTCTTTCCTAAATACTTTTTCTCCCCTCTCTTAATTATATAGCTTTACACTGATTTACATGAATTTCAGCTTTTAAAATCATTGGTTTTTACTGAACGCAAAATAGGCACATGGGAAATTATATTAAGTTTGTACAATTGATCTTTCATCATTTCAAATGGTACCTTTGAGCAGCTCCTGAAATATCTGTCTGAAATATTCCCAGCGCTGAGTGTCATCCAAAGATGTGAGGTCACTGTGGGGAAAACCATTCTCAGTGATGTAAATTGCAGGGTTGTTATAGGTTTCCTAAAACAAGAGAGCACGAGTTTAATTTCAAACAAATATACCAAAAAAAAAAAAGATTCCTCATAAAATCAGGTGCCTCTCTATCATCTCTAAACTCCAACCTCCAAACTGGTTTTCATCAAATTGCACTGACCCCATTAATTTAATTTTCCATGCACTGACCTTTCATGACTAACAATGGAAAAGCAAAGCTGTGCAAATGTCCATGAAGACAGTTAAATGACTCTTATTATCATAAGAAGACAGAAATATCTCTCTCCCATCAACATCTGCTGATTGTCACTGCTCCTTAACCCCTTGTTCAGCAGCTACATTCTTTCCCCACTAGAGGCTATCTAAAAAATGAATCACTTGCAATTTTAATTTCAGCTACCTACATGTCGTCCAGCAAAACAAAGAACCCCCCAAAAGAACCCAGCTATATCGATCCTTGATATGCCTTTTTAAAAATCATAGTCATAGCAAAACCTGAAGAAAAGAAATATACTCAATCTACTTCTAAGACCATGACTGACTTGAATAATGAATCACCACTTTAATCACAAATTTTGAAGCCCTTATCAACTAGCAAACCCTCAGCCACTTAAATTCTAATTTTTTGTTCCAACAACTGCATGTAATACTGCCTACAGGTGTCCTTTTTGTAGGCTCACATGCATGCACACATATGCCTTTCTTCCCACCTTCACATATGTGAGGTACATGAACATAAACAAATTGTTCGTTTACCTTAACATACTTCAGTATTTTACGTATTCCCCACGGCACCACATAGACCCAGTCCAAATTGACCCAAGATGGGTCTGTAGAAATTTCAACCTCGGCATCATAAAGAGCACCCAGTTCTCCTTTCTTGTTCTCCTTGAGTCTGGCTAAGCAAGTTGTATAATATTGCACAGCAAAGAAATCACCAGTGCCTTTGATCATCTTCTTCTCTTCCTCTGTAAATTCTGGAAGCCTGGATGATGCGTAGCCTTGCTTCGTACTCATGGCAGCAATCTGGGACTTGACCCCTTCAGGATAATCACCATCGGTAAATATGGGTTTAGCAAAAAGATCTAGATGGAAAGCCATAACTCTCTTAGCAGCTTCTTGGTCGGATGCTGAGTTGGGATCTGCTGGTTCCGCCCAGGCAATGAAGAATGACAGGGATACCAGACCCTTCTGCTCTTTTCGAAATAAGGAATCATAGCTGTGCCAGGATCGGGCATGGGCTTTAATCAAATTATGAGCTGCCTGATAACCTCCAGTTCCTAGGTGAGGCACACCAGGAGGAAACCTGCCAAGATCATATGCCATCAGGGCAAACATATTAGGCTCATTTAAGGTGATCCACAGCTTGACTCGATCCCCAAATGTACGGAAACAAAACTGGGCATATTTGTCAAAGGATTCAATGATTGTCTCTGACAGCCAACCGCCTTTGTCTTCTAAAGCCTGAGGCAAATCAAAGTGGAAGAGTGTCACTATAGGCTTGATGCCGTTTTCCAACAAATCATCGATGATCTTGTTGTAATAGTCAACTCCTAGGAGAGGAGGGGAAAAATGAGTAGTTGTGCTTAGGATGTTGGCAATCCATTTTAAAAAGGGGATCATGATAAATTCCTACATCTTTCGCATTTTATAAGGCTCTGCTACATTCTACATATAATCAGTTGAGGACTGGAGAGGGCAACAGGAAGAAGTCTGAGGAGACCTGACTGATCAGAGACAGAGTGTGGCGAAACAATGCAATCCTGGGAGAAAGTTATTCTCAAAGGATCACTTTAGGAAGTCTCTAGGACATTGCTTTGTGTTATTGTCACACTTACTTAAATTATTTTATATATTTGGATGTTTTATGTGCCCCTTAACTTTCTAAAACATAGGTACAGTGACAGCAGATTAGTCTGCCTGCTTCATCTCCAGATCTCCTAAATCCTGGAACAATACCAGAGAGGTAGCGAACACTCCCTCTTAAAAAGCTGGAGTCTCCAGCCAATCAGCTGTGATTCAGTCAATTTAAAGTGATATATTAGCTATGCCCTAATTTATCTTAATGTCCACTTTCTCCATTCTGCTACCTGGAATATTGAGTAGTAATGGGGAACCATTGTGGGTCATTCAGATCTGGACAAGGTCCTGTTAATACTGAATATCTACCATATATTGTCATTATTAGTTTGGAGTTAACCTGAGAAGTTGAGGTTTCTGTGCCATTATTTGTAATCAAATTAACATGAAATTTATACTGTGCTTCACAGGATTTTTGTACATTTTCAGTATGATAGTGATATGTCAATACCTAAATTTGAAAAGGTATTGTAATATACAAAAATGTGTAATATGCCAAAATTTGAATTATTTGCCTGATTTCAGTTCTATATGAGAGACGTCCATAAAGAATGCCTTTGTAAAAAAAAAAAGCTGGAGTAAACAAATAAATACATAAATAAATCGTGTTGAGGGTTTGGACCACACCCAGTTGTGCTCAGGGATTCCCAGGTCTGTGCCCAGAGGTTGCTCCTGTTGGTTTCTCAGAGGTCCATATGTGGTGCCAGGAACTTAGAACTGTCAGGATATAAGGCATTTGTTATTTCTCTTGTCCTCCACAAATATTTGCTTTGTTTTCTTGTTTGGGGGCCACACCAGCTGAGCTCAGGGCTTACAGCTGGATTTGTACTCAGGAATCACTTTGGGCAGCCTTTGGGGACCATATGGGTGCCAGGGATAGAACCTAGGCCAGGCACATGCACGACAAGCATCCCATTTACTTTACTATGTCTCCAGCCCCCTATTCATAAATATTTGTAGACTGAATGAAGGGATCTCATATGTATTAAATATAAGGGTTAAGGATTGAACCAGATGACTGCTTCAGTGCTTCTTGAAGCCCCTTAGTCTTTTAGATCTTGGGAAAGAGACCACTAAACATGAGCAAGAGCTTGACATCTGCTGCAGAAAAGAGTAGAAAGGGGCAGTGAGCCAGGGACTTGGGATAATAAGAATGTTAAGATGAGGGCTATTCTCTGAAATTCTGATCTAATCTGTGAGAATACCCTGAATGAGCTAAGAATTTAACAGCCAATTCCTTTCTTTAAATATAAAAATAATATCTGCACTCATATATTGTTTTCATATCTGAGTGTCAGATGACACATGGTGTGGTATTCTTTGTCTTGAGAAGCATGTAAAAAAAGCTTCAGGAGGGGGCTGGAGCTATAGCACAGTGGGTAGGGCGTTTGCCTTGCATTCGTCTGACCCGAGTTTGATTCCCAGTATCCCATATGGTTTCCAGAGCACCACCAGGAGTAATTCCTGAGTGCATGAGCCAGGAGTAAGCCCTGTGCATCGCCGGTGTGACCCAAAAAGGAAAAAAAAGAAAGAAAGAAAGGAAGGAAGGAAGGAAGGAAGGAAGGAAGGAAGGAAGGAAGGAAGGAAGGAAGGAAAAGCTTCAGGAAAAGTCAGTGCCAAACTAAAAGTTACAACCCTTTTTCTGTCACAGTATGAAATCTGAACCCTTCTTGCTAAAGCATCTGTTACCAGGCTTGCTAACATTTCACAAGAAGAAGCACAGCAATTTTATTTTTTTATACTTTAATTCATTTATTGGGCTGCAGCGATAGCAAAGTGGGTAGGGCATTTGCCTTGCATGCGGCAGACCCGGGTTCAATTCCTCCATCACTCTTAGGGCCCAGCAAGATACCGAGAGTATCCTGCCCACACGGCAGAGCCTGGCAAGCTCTCTGTGGCATATTCAATATGCCAAAAACAGTAACAACAAATCTCACAATGGAGACATTACTGGTGCCCGCTCAAGCAAATCAATGAACAACAGATGACAGTGCTACAGTGCTACAGTGTAATTCATTTATTATTATTACTATTGAATCACTGTGAGATATGGTTATAAAAATTTCATGATCGGATTTCAGTCATACAACATTTCAACACCCATCCCTTCTCCAGTGTACATTTCCCACCACCAATAATATCCCCCATATTCCTTCTGCCACCGCTGCTCTCAAGGCAGGCAGTTTTCTCTCTCTCTCCGTCTCTCTCTCTCCCTCTCTCTCTCTCCCTCTCTCACTCTCTCCTTCTCTCTCTCTCTCTGTCTCCCTCTCTCCCTCTTTGCCTTGGGGTATTATGGTTTGCAATACAGATACTGAGAGGCCATCATGTTTGGTCCTTTATCCATCTTCAGCACTCATCTTCCAGACAATTTTGTTTTAATAGCCAGAACAATCAACCTACTATGAAGCTGATTCTTACTATCAGATCCTTGAAGAAAAATAGAAGGAATCAGTGATTTACCTCATATGAGCATTACTAGACATGATACTACCATTAATGATGGCAATCACTGTATTCAAAAAACAAGATAATTTTCCATTGAAATGAAGATAAAAATATTTTAAGTTAAAAGTTTTTGTGCCCAGCATGATGGTACATCAAAGCTATTGCATAACTTATATGTAACAGCTCAGAAGTGAGCACTTTACTTCTGGTTTGTGCAGTGCTTTGTTTTGTTTTTTCTTTCTACGTACTCCAAGAAGGGTTGGAGCAATAGCACAGCGGGTAGTGCATTTGCCTTACTCGCAGCCAACCCAGGTTCAATTCCTCTGCCCCTCTCGGAGAGTCTGGCAAGCTACCAAGAGTATCCTACCCGCACAGCAGAGCCTGACAAGCTACTCCTGACGTATTCGATATGCCAAAAACAGTAACAACAAGTCTCACAATGGAGATATTGCTGGTGCCTGCTCGAGCAAATCAATGAACAACAGGAGAATAGTGCTATAGTGTTACTCCAAAAAAATTTCCCATGATGCAGAGAATTGCAGATTTCTTGAGAAGAGCTCCAGAGTTGGGCAGTTCAGTTATAGCACCATGGAAAAAAAATCACTTGACCTTACTACACCCATTTTCTTACCTGTAAAAGAGAAAAAAGTAATAATATCACCCCATGAGAGTTGCAGGTATCAAATGATAAAAGTAAAGTAAAGGCCCTCCCATTGATCATCGATTTGCTTGAGCGGGCCCAGTAATGTCCATTGGAGACTTTATTGTTACTGTGTCTGGCATATCGAATACGTCACGGGGAACTTGCCAGGCTCTGCCGTGCGGGTGAGATACTCTCGGTAGCTTGCCGGGCTCTCCGAGAGGGGCGGAGGAATCGAACTCGGGTCGGCCATGTTGGCTGCGTGCAAGGCAGACGCCCTACCCGCTCTGCTATCGCTCCAGCCCACTATTAAATTGTTCTTTGTTTTCTGCAACTGAAATAATTCACTGATAGGTAATTCTCTCAGTAAATACATTCTTTCTCCCACAATCATGTATTATCAATTAGAAATATTAAAACTCTGAAGCAGGCCCATCTGGGCCCTGTTCTGCTTCTGAATATTTACAATATTTATCATGGGAATGATTATTTTCAATATTAAATGTGCAAATCCTTCTTTTATGATTACTCTCCCCTTCTCCATTTGTTTTTGTTTGGGGGCAACACTCAATGATGCTCAGGGGTTATTCCTGGCTCTGCACCTAAGAATTCCTCCTAATGATGCTCAGGGGGGCCACAGGGATGCCCAGGGATGGAACCCAGTTGGCCATGAGCAAGACAGTGTCATACCAGGTGTATTATCAATTTGCCCCATCTTCTTATCTGTTTGAATTATATCCATTTATACTAATTTTATCTACAAAAATATGAAGCATTTTTGGGTGAGGGGCCATTCACATGTATAGAAAAAAACACTCATATTAATCCAAGCAAAGCAGTGGTATTATGGACAGATGACTTGTTAGTGTGAAATGCAGTGGAAATGATTGGAAACAATGAAAAGAAACTATCAGATACTACACGACAGGAAATACATGCAACTGGAATTCTGGGAAATTGAAGCTAGAAGCTGAAAATATCTATGCTTCTCAAGTACAGCCTCACCCATTCCAACTTTTCCCACTATACCCTATTCCTCTTCTTGAGTGACTAATTTTTTTTATGCATCTTATTTTCCATGGTCTCAAAATGCTATCCCATCTGCCAGTGACAGTCCTTCTGGTGATTATGAACTTATTTGTCTCTCAGCTCTCAATTCCAAACATCCCTGCAAAAGAAGATAATTGTGCAAGAACATCTTTTCCAACAAGGTTGTCCACATCAGATGTCATAAGGGAAGAATTTTTTTTTCATTCAACAAGTTGTGGCCAGTAACAGAGCTAAATTATAAAGAATGAAGAAATGGGGAGATTCCTTTAGAAGAAGATGTGGCTGAAGCTTGCAAAAGTGATACCTGAGTACAAAAAAATGCTACTATGCCACTTAAACTATAAATGTTTTAACCAGAGAATTAATTTTGGCTCAGGGCCCACCATGTGTAAGACACATCATAACTGTAGATTAATTCTTTACCACTTTTTTCATTGTCTTAGATGCTCTTGGAACAATCCTTATAATAGTTCCTTATGGTTTCTAAAACAATTTGTCACCAATATAGTGGACTTAAACAACATGAAGGTATTTTTGCTATTTTGGGGCATCAGATGT